TCCAGACAGAGTTTGGAGGGTTTGTACAGGAGGTAGGTCCTGTTACCAATACACACCACTCGCACCAAACACAGCTTCACAAGACATCACAGAGGGTTTTAAACAAAAAATGTGCTTCCCTGTGCCTGACACTGGTCCTAGAAAAGCCTGCAAGCCTCATTTCCAGAGGGGAAAGAAATGCTTTGCCCAGGTCTTCTGCATCTGCAAGTGGTGGGAAAGGGTTTGTGTGGGGAGCATCACCTCTGTTTTGAAATCAAGTGGTTCCAGGAAGTTTTGGGAGGCTCTTCAGTTGCATGGAGTCTGGTATTGTACCAATCCCATCAGAGACTGCTGGTCCTGGCTTGCCTCACTCTCCCCCTCCTCTGCCTTTGTGAGATGTTGAAGATGGGGTGGCTGAGTACAGAGAGAGAGAGAAAATCAAAGGGCTCTGCAACTTCCCCTCCTTTTCCTCCTCTGATCCACATCCTTGTCAAAGGAAAGTGTGAGAAATGTTGGATGGCACCCAGAGGGGTTCTGAACTTCCTCCTTCAGGAGCAGGCTGGTTTGATCTCCTTTGAAATAACAGCTGATAGGGGCACCCAAAATCAGAGTCCCTCAGGGGAGCTATTTAGATCCCCATTCCCTCCTGTTTGGTCTGTGGGATATGAGGAGTCAGGGGATGGAGAAAGGGACTTCAGCCATCCCTGCTGGTGTTCAGTGTTGCTCTTGAAATCTGCAGGAAGGCCTTGAGGTGTGTAGTGCTCATGTGCAGGTCTCCACCAGCTTTACAAACAGATCTCTGCAGGGTCAGGACCTGCCTTTTTGCAGGGAGATGCCTTGGAAAAGGGGTGAAAGAAAGTTCATACCCTCCAGCTATAACTCCTGGATCCTTTCCCTCCTCTTAGTGCTGCTGATCTGGAGATTATGAACTCATTTTGCAAGCAGTTTTGTCTCAAAAAAAGAAAAAAGGAGAGCTGGAAATTTTCCCTCTGACCTTGAGAAAATGACAGTTTGATGACATTAGGAAAGCAGCATCTCAAATCCAGAAATATTTCCCTTTTCAGCTGGCCCTTGTTCAGTAAATTGCCATCTTTACTGTGTCATACATGCATCCATTTTCAGTCAGTGAAAGGCAAAAGCACAAATCCCATCACAGGCAGCTGTCCTCCATCCAGATCTTCTGCTGAGTGGGAGCAGGAACTAATTTCTTCCTCTCTACTTAACCACAATTGATTAAGGATGTTAAAGAGTTTATTACTTCCTAATATAATGGTTTCCTTATGTTGTATTATTCTCCAGAGTGGGCAGAGCTCCCCTGTGCCAGCAAAGTGGGGTGCAGCATTGCTGAACCCCAATTACTGGAGTCTCACTGTGGGAGAGGTTGCAGGTGGCCTCTCACAGAAAGCTGCATTTCATCCTTGGTTTCCAGATACCTCACAGTATCCCTTCCACTGGGAAATTAAGCAGACACTCTCCATACCCAGTGCAGCTGTTTCTGGTGTTAAATTAAACTGCTGCTATTACAGTGAGCCGTGTTGGAGCTGAGCTGTGTTGTTGCTTAATTGTTTATGGCCATGGATGCCAGCCAAGCAGCAGTCCTGTAGTGGCAAACGCTGGAAATCTGACCTGGAAAACAGATGTTTGGGCCAAAGCCAAGGTGGTTTCAGGAAAGACAGTGTGAGAAAAGAGAGAAAAGCAGGAAACCAGTTATCTGTCTGATTTATTGGGCAGGGTAAAGTAATCCACCCCAGAGCAGAGTGCTCACACGAGGCTGGTACAGCAGTAAACTCTGGTTTTAGCAAGCTTGAGCCAGCCTTTGCAAGGCTTAGGAGGGCAGCTGTTGGTTTATCAGTGCTGACTTTTGCTCTGCCAAACCCACATGCTTTGCAGCTGGTGGAAAGTTCTCACCTGTTTGCTGGAGGCTGCAGAGCATCTCCTGCAATAAACTGGTTTATGTGAAGTCCCAGCACATGTCTCTCAGATTTGATACATTGAAGGGATCCAATGAAATTTTAAAGGTTTGAGGAACCTGATCAGAACCAGATCTTGCAGTGAAGGTGCTTCATGTGAGCAGATCATCCCCAGGTATTCCCATTGGCTCTCAAAGGAGGGAGTTCTCACACTGGTGGTTCCAGATCAGGATCTGAGGGTGCAAATTTCCCTCTGTTCCTCTCTCAGGAGCCCAGGTGATTGCCTGACATGGCAGGTGCTGCAGACATCTGGGTCTTGGTGAGATCTATCCCCCTGTGTCTTCACAGAACCACAGGCTGCATGAGCTTTAAAGTGACCTCTTCTTGTCCCCCTCTCCTGCCCAAGCAGGGACACCAGGAGCTGCCCTGGATCTTGTCCAGACGGCTTTTGAATATTTCAGGAGTGAAGATTCCATAACACCTCTGGGATACCTGATCAGGAGGTACTTGATTGCACAGAGCCAAATGAAATGTTGCACTGGAGAGGAGGCAGGGAATGTCCAGCATTTAAGATGAAGGAAAGTTTTAAATGTCACTGCTCAGGGAGCTGACCCTCAGACCTGAGCAGGTGCCTTGCAGCACATCCAAGTAGTGATTTTTGGAGCAGTGATAGGAGTATTTAGCAGGACAAGAGATTTCACCATTCCACCTATGTTGTGAATATATTGATTTATTTGAAGTGTGATGAATTGCAGCTCAAACATTTAGTCCTAATTTTATTTCTTTAGTGCCTGGGTCAATAGTGTCTCCACATTTTATTGCTGAGGAAACATCAAAAGAACTTTGGATTCTTGTAGCAACACTCATGTTCTTAGATTCCCAACACACTGACTCATAATTCTGACTGCCACTCTGAGCTTTGAAAAGTGAATTTGGAAAGTCTTGGTAAGGGAATGCTTAACCCCATGCACTTCCTTCTGCTTGTGGAACAACAGGTTCCTAAAGCCAGAGATGTAGGAGTTAAGATCTTAATTTGGAATAAGATCTTAATTTCCTCTTGGCCAGCAGTGACCAGAATTGGTGGAGTATGGTAGAGGCAAAGAGGACATTTCTGTTCACACACAGAGGTACAATTAAGATGTTTTGGCTGTTGGTTTTAGTCTTTGGCTATCTTTAGCTTTCCACACTGATGATACAGAATATACAGCTCCTTGGATTTCACTTCTGCTGCCAGAGACCCTTTGATTTGTTTTTTCTTTTGTCTTTAAACTTCATAGGCTTCTTGTTTTTTGAAACAAAGGAAATGTCTAAGTAATAATAAATGTCTGCATTGCACAGAGATGGGGAAAAAATATACATATATTTCTTTCCACTTCTTAATTTGATAAGGTTTCTCTGATTCTGACATTGAGGCAGAACCTTTAGCCTTTTCTTGCCATGGAGCACTCACAAACCACTCACTGTACTTCTCTGCAGTGCCACAGGTCTAGCTGTATTTGAGGATCTATCTAAATGCAAGTGGCTCTCCAAAGCAGCTTCATCAGGCACTTGGCTAATGTGAAACTTCCTAGAGATACACAACAGACATGAGTCACAGGATATTTTTCTCTTTCTCTGCCCCATCCTCTCTTCCCCAGACACCTGATGGTTTTCTTCTCTTTTGAGTGCAGTATCCAAGAGAGTTTGTGACTTTTTTGCTGTTTTCCTGAAAACTCAGCCTGATTGTTGGCTAACACAGCCAGGAGCTCAAATGGGAACAAGAGTCTTCAGATGCTGTTTATTGTATAAATTGGCCTGATGTAGAGTAGTAAATTTAGGGAAACCTTCTGGGAAGGCAAGTTCTTTCTCAGAGAACACGGACAGTTGGCTTCATGAGCCATCTGTGTTGGAAAATGTTGGAATGTGAGTGCTCAGTGCTTGTGAATACTTAGCCAGAAGATTTGGTGTTCCAGTCCCAGCGATAACTGCAGCAGTTTGTCTCTGTTTTATAACACAGGAGGAAGGAGAAGATCTCATCAGATCCAAGATACAAGTGGAATAACAAGCTGCAACCTGGCCATGTGCTGACAAAAAGTTGTTCTGGGTTTGTAGCAGCCCCAGACTTTTGTACGAGGGGCTGATGGAAACTCATCATTCCACACTGCTGGGGAAGAGAGAAGACACTCAAGCAAAGGGCTACATCTTGGTTCCTCAACTTCCCCTCTCTCCTTGATGGTCTTGCCTCCTGTGTCCTTGAACAGAGAGGCAGGTTTTGAAGTCAACCTGGCCAGAGGAGCAGATATTCCTTCAGCTGAGAAAAACCTTTCCATGTTGCCTACAAGAGTGATGAAAAGAAAAGCCCCTCTCAGAGACTGAACTTACCTGTCAGGAAAATACCATTTGCAGGTAAGAAAATGCTATTCCCAGCAAAAAAACCCTGGAACTTCTTCCATGTGGGGCTAGAGAAGCTTCCCTTCAGAAAGATCATTTTTATGTGTAAAATACAGAAGAGATTTGGCTGCATCCCACACCACAAGTCATTCATCCTTTTGTGGTTGTGCTTGAACAATGTGTCACTGTCAATATATTTGACAGATAACAGCTGGTGATAGCACTGGTGGCTTTTAACTCTGGTGGTCCAAGACAGACATCTGCAGCTGAGTTCAAAGTGCCTCTTGCTCCCCATTGACTGGAGGAGAAGCCAGGAATGACAAGCCCAGATGATGAGACAAAAGTTGGGTGGTAAATCCCAGTTTGGGGCCCAGATGGTAAAATGATGGGCACTAGCTACAACAGTTAATAATTTCTGGTTTCACTAAATCTTCTTTCTGAAAGCTTTGAAAGATCTTGCAGAGAAAGTTTTGTAGTGTTTCAACCCAAAGGTTTTGTAATGTTTCCTGGCACCTTGACTGTATTTGTTTTCAGCTGCTTAAAATCAATCCTGAGGTGCTGTTTTTTCTGGGGGGGTATTTTGTTTCACTGTCTGTACAGTGTGGTTCATATGAGCTGAACTTTCTCTTTATAGCTTCACTTGTGAATACGGTTCAGCACCCAAGAATGCCTGAGCTCCTTTCCATGCCGTGTATAAATAGTGCACAGTTATTTCACAGTTTCACATTCAGCCTGCAGGCTTCCAACAGTATTCCCAAACCCCTCTCTAGTCCCATAGCATTCAGGTTCTTGATGTGACTCAACATCAATTACAGCAGAGGTTTATCCCAGGCCAAGCAAACTCTGATTTGTGACTCCTGTGCATTGTCATCCTCGTTCCTGGCGGTCGGCGTGAAGTCGGCAGTGCTCAGGGCTGCTCCTGTGGGTTTTCCCAGCCCTGTGATGAGTTCAGCTCCGTGCTTAAGCCGACAGCTGAGTTCCAGTACCTTGGGCACGTCCAGCAGTGCTGGCTCAGTCCGTGGAAGGAAGTCAGAGAGGCTCCAGCTGGATGGATAACTAGCGGCCGGCGTCCCGCTGCCCAACGGAGATAAGGGGCTGGTCAAAACCAGGGGAATTTTTAGACTCTCTCCCAAGTGTCGCCTGTCTTTTGTTTGGCACAGGACTTGTCATGTCTCCCTTCCTGCGTATTGGTTTGTCCAACTATGACAGTGGCCCTTACCTGCCGTCCCAGGGGGAGGTGATTAACCCCTACTGCGCCGTGATGGTTAAAGAAGCCGTGGAGTCAGGTAAGAAGGGAGGGGTTAAGTGTGGATGGGGGCTTCTCTAAGTCATGTCTGTGCTTTTCTGTGTAATTTCCTGTGTGTAGATAACTAGAATGAACCATAAAATATGTTGGCTTGGAAGAGACCTCAAAGATCATCCATTTCCCACCCCACTTTATAAAGATTTGTGAACCCCTTTGTGTGTCCCAGCACAGTGCAAGTTTGGGTTTGGCGTGGTCTGCAAGGCAATCTGATTTTAAGTTGGCGGCAAACAAATGTGTATCTCCAATTTGAGGATATTATCAGCTGCATTACAAGCCCCAGCATGTGACAGAGCAGATGAGCCGAGCTGTATTTGGTTTCACCCTTCCATGACCAGTTGTTGGTTTGTCAGTGGGACTCCAGGCAGCTGAAATCTGAGTGCGCTAAAATATTCTGGCAGGGCCATCTTTGTTAATCACTTTTTGGGGGGAAACTGACAGACCCAGCCACTTCCATAATTTGAAAAAAAAAATAGCTACTCAAACAGCCCAGTCTCTGCAGAATTAGTTAATTTATCCATGTCATTGCTGTGCTGTGCAAAAGATTTGAAAATGAAACCTCCTGAGAAGCTGTTTGCTGAGTTTGAATCTATGGATTGTTGCACATTTATCCTGATTGAACAACACTGATGAATCCTCCTTTTGGAAAACATTTATTATATGTCTTATGCATGAAAATAATTCCAGTGAAAGGGTGAAAAGTTCTCCAGTTGTGCTTTCAAGGATCACGAAGAGCAAGACCTTCAGTGTTAGGGAGTTACTCATATTGGCTGATATTTAGCTTAAATCTTTGATAAAGTACTAATTTGACTGCTGTGATTCTTTGAAAAATAAAATCCCCTCAGAAATCCCTATTTATTGAGAATCCCCATGACTGTAATCCCCAGAGGATGTTAAAGTAGTTTTAAAAAATTAGAATTTTAAAATAGTTCCGTAATTCACTGGGGTTCATTTTTTGTTTAAGATTCAGCATTTATCACATTGAACTTTGTCTTGCCTTAAATGATACTTCAAATAATAATGGAAGATTTGGTGAATAGTAAATTCAAAAGGAAAGAAAATACTGCATGACAAGATATCCCTAAGATCTTACTTTTATCAGAAAATACATTCTATTTTAGCTCTGTGCAGAGCTTGGCTGTTTGCTTTAATGAGGCTTTTGAAAGCCATAACTCAAATTGAAATATGTGTCAGTTCAAAAATTAATAAAATCAACTTGGTCAGAACAGTCCTATATTTATTTCTCTGACACAGAGCTGAAAGTGTTTTCTCGTATCCAACAAACACAAAAGTATTTTCTAAGGGATATAATTTTTGTGCTCCTCAGAGTCAATAATCATTATAGTAATTATATTTATTTTAATTATTACTGTAATAATTATAATTATTTCAATTATTATTATAATAAATCTTCTACCAACAAGAAATAAAAAATTCTGTTTGGGGGAACTTTTCTCCGTTAGTGAGGGCTGAGCATAGGAAAGTGACTTTCTGCCACTAGGAGATTTCTGTTTGCTGGGATGTAATTTCATCTGGTGATGGCTCAAATCATGGTGTGACAGACAGAGGCACTTATCTCATCAGTGAACCTCCTGGGGCTGATTCACCTCACACTCCCCTATTAGAGTGGGCTGAAGCACCTGTGGGAGGTGTTAACCTGCTGGAGGGTGTTTAAATGTGTGGATGGACAATTTTACCTTAGGGGGACTGAGGAAAGTGAGGCCACCATGGAATCCATCCACCTTTTAATTCCCTGATACTGATGTGTGAGTAATCCCAGCCTGAGGAGCACATCCATGATGAGTGTGAGGTGAATCACACCCTGGAAAAGCTCCCCCTGACCAGACAGACCACCCAGAGGTCTCTGTCTGACGTGCAGGGAGATGAGCCTGACTCCAAATGCCAGGAATGCTCTCCGTGACCATCCCAAGGAGCTGTCATGCTCTAACAGGCTTCAAGAAGGCAAAAGGTCTCCAGACAAACATTAACTAAATGTGTTTGAGGTAGAATCATGGAATCATTAAGATTGGGAAAGACCTTCAACAACGTCAAGTCCAGCTGTTAATCCAATGCTGCCAATTCCACCACTAAACTGTGTCTTATCCCTGCTTCATACTTATTTTTCTTTTGGTCATAATTTACTCTCCAGTTCCTTGGTTTGACAAAGCAATTGCTACTCAGTTGTAATTGGATTAAAATTTTTTTTTTAATTTTTAAAACTATATATCTCACTGATATACATCAGTTGTAATTGGATTAAAATTTTTTTTTTTTTAATTTTTAAAAATATATATCTCACTGATATACAAATTTTGGCTAAAATTTTGGCATGACCAAGGAGTAGGAGTGGACCAGCTGCACAGCTGGTGAGAGATGCAAATCACCCTGGCCTTGTGCACTGACACTTAGCCATGGAGAAATTTTTCAGGGCAGAAATGATTGCTGAGCAGGGCAGGACATGCCTACATGTTCAAGGCCAAGGAACAACCTGCTCTAGTGGAAGTTATCCCTGCCTACAGCAGGGGGATGGAACTGGATGGTTTTTAAGGTCCCTTCCAACCTAAACCATTCTGTGGTTCTATGTTTAGCACTGGCAAAGTGTGGGGCTTTTTGGTTTTGTTTTTGGTTGGTTGGTTGGCTGGGTTTTTGCAAACAGAACAGTGGTAGATGATAAATGTATTTCCAAAAACAGGGAGTTTGACTTTGGGTTCATGCCAAAGGCTGTCCCTTGTCAACCAGCCATAATGAAAAGGTCATTGGTCCCCAGGGATCTGGGAGTGATTAACATCCTCTGTGGACACAGGGATGTCACAGCAAGACCACAGTGAAGAATTTCAGAAGTTCTGGATAGATCTTGGGCAGCCTTGTAAATTTTTCTACTTGCTTATTTTGTAAAAAGGACCTTGTCACATTATAATGCAATCTGAAAAAAAAAAAAAAAAAAACAACCAAAAAAAATGAAAAACAAACCACATCTCCATACAGTTGGAGGTGTTACAGCAATTTATAACTGATGACAAAATATTTCAGAAATTATATGTGCCTCTGAGATATAAAAAGAGTCTGCCCTTTAAAAGTGGCTTCTGCCTTCACAAGCCACCTGGCCGGGTGCCATTTTGCCACCTGCCTTGCTGACATTTGCTTCATGAATGCTCCTGCTCTGTGTTTGAACACAGCAAAGCCTCCAGGAAAAGCACTCCCAGCCACGATGGAAGCTGCTCCCTGGGAAAGACAGTTGCAATTTCATTTTCAGGAACCTGGGGTTGGATTAATCCCTGGCAGAATTCCACAGCCGTCAGCGGGGATGCACCAGGGTGAATGTCTGATCCCATATATTGGGCAGTTCATTCACATTCCAGGGCTTGTTTATTTAAGCCTGGTGTCCTGGAGTGTGACACAAATGAAAGCACTTGTTTTGCAAGTGCTGTGTTCCACATCTGTGGCTTTTTCACTGATGCAGCAAAGAAATGATGGTCCTTTGCTGAGATTTCTGTTTTCCGGGATGCTGGAAAGTTTATGTCTCATTTTTGTCTCTGATTTTTTGTGAACTAGTCCTCTCATTTAGGGAAAAATTTTCTTCAGCATGTATTACCTTCCAGCTGCATGTTCTTTTCTATCTGGAATTATTGGAAATAGCAGCAAGGTCTTTAGACAGGTGTCACAGATCTGCTGCTTTTTTTCTCTTTCTCCTTCAGCTTCAGCATTTGATGGGTTGAACATTTGCAGAGGGTAACTGTGATATAGAATTTACCTTGAGTAAGCATCCAGGACTTCTATAGGGCTGTATGAAGTAAAACTGGCTCTGTGAGATAGATCTGGCTGAGACTCTTTTCAGAGAGACCCAGTTGGAGAAAAACCTCTGCAAACCTCAGAGACACCCATTTTTTTTACCCATCACCATATTAAGATGCTGTGAAGGAAGAGGAATTAAAGCATTAGGAAAGTTTGCTTTGTTGAAAACTCTACATCCCTGCAGGATAGTTACAGGTCTGCATGACAGTTCATGTTTTAACATCCCTTAGTTGGCTACTGGGCTGGACATTCATCCCAAAGTGCACCCAGATTTTTAGGGGTTTGAAGCAAACCTGTCTCATTTTGCAGTGCCTTGGGACAAGTGATAAACAAGGTAATTGTCTGGGATGGGATTCACCTGATTAGAAGTGGGTGTTTATGGTGTTGGGGTCAGCATTAGAGATCTCCTGAACAGAACTGGTGGGGTCAAGGGTGGAAATTACCTTTTTTAGGGTAGATGTCTGTATTTGGTCTCAAAAAGCATCCTCACTGCATGGATTTGTGTTCTCCCTCTCAACAGAGAATGGCCAAGTGTATGTGCAGAAGAAGCCCACCATGTACCCACCCTGGAACAGCACTTTTGATGCCCACATCAACAATGGCCGGGTCATGCACATCGTGGTCAAGGACAAAAGTGCTGAAATGGTCTCAGAGACCACAGTGGAGCTGAAGGTGCTGGCAGAGAGGTGCAAAAAGAGCAATGGGAAGACAGAGATATGGGTGAGCATCACTCTCTTCTCCTGCAGGATGGGCTGGGGAGCTGCTGCAGGGTAAGGGGATGTGTCCTTGTGTCCATGCCAGGCTGTGGCTGTCACCAGCAGCACAGTGGGGACTGCCTGGAATAATGTTTTGAGACTACTTGGGTGTGACTTGAGGGAGAGACTTGTCAGAAGAGAAGAGTTTGGTACTTTTATTTTAGTTGAAATCTGCCCTGTGCTAGTGAAGATTCTGCTTCAGGTGAGCTGTGCCCACGTATTAATCTTTGCTGAGGAAGCCCACTGGGAACAAGTGTTATTATGACTGGCTGAACATGAGTTATTTTATGTTCTCTGGGGAAACAACTTTAAAAATTTTATCTGATATCAAGTAGCTGATTCACAGCTGCCTGAATTTAGAGTTAAGTCAGAGAAACTCCTTAAAAATCACTGAAGTTATGGTGGTGTAAATTTGAGCAGTCTTCACAAGAATGATAAGGTAAGGTTGTGTTCCCTGCTAGTCCAAACAAGAAAGATCCTGGCAGAAATCTTTAGAATGCAGTATCCAGCTTATACATAGTCCAGTGGATTCAGATTTCCAAAGGCACTTATGGATGATGAGTCTGGCAGGTGGGAATTGCCAAGTCCAGAGGGGAACCCCCAAAAATGCTTGAATTACACAGAATCACACAGAATGACTAGATAGGAAGAGACCTCCAGGATCATTGAGTCCAACCCAGCCCCAACACCTCAACTAGACCATGGCACCACAATAATAAGCTTGTAGCATCCCTCAGGTTGACTGTAAAGAAGTTAGACTTGCAGAACTGAGTGCCTGAAAGATTTCAGCATCACCTGTCTGAAGCTGGCTGGGTTTTTTGAACTGCTCCCACCTTCCCCTTGCAGGATCCATTGGGAAAAAGTTTTCTCTGTGGATAGTGGTGGTCCTAATTTGGTGTCTAAAAAGCTGCCTACATTTCTGTGGTTTAATCACATTCATCTCTCCTATCATGCTGCTCTGAGTGTTTGATATGAGGTGATCAACCCTCCTCTCTCTGTAGTTGCTCCTACCCTACCTTGCTGCCTCACATGGGTATGAGCAACCTGAAAATTGGCACTCATTTCAATTCATCAGTTCCCACTGGGAAAAGGAGATCACTTGAAAGTAATCTGAAAAGATTTTTCCTTCTCTGAATGACTGTTTAATGGACATTTTTCCTTGTTTTTCACTTATCTCAACCAGCTAGAACTGAAGCCTCAAGGGCGAATGCTGATGAATGCAAGATACTTCCTGGAAATAAGTGGCAAGTGATTCTGTTTGTTAATTTATAGCTGTGATTTCTGGGCTGTGGGGCAGACACGGTGTCTTCACTAAAAGCAGTGCCTATGTTATTACTGACTGATCCATAACAACAAACATAACTGTTTGAAACAAAAACTCCAGAAAAGTAATTTTTATTGTGTGGTGACTGTTCTTCTGTGATTTGCAAGGCAGATTTTTTGGCTGGTTTACCACTAAATGGCAGATATTCCCATTCTGCTAAACAAGACAGAACAGATATATAAGGAGGCAGCTCCCTCTGAAATAATTCTGCTTTATGTACTACAAGAAATTAATGGAAGGGCATGGAGCTGGAGAAGGGCCTGAAGCACCAGGAGGGGCTGAGGGAGCTGGGAAGAGGCTCAGCCTGGAGAAAAAGAGGCTCAGGGGGGACCTTGTGGTTCTGCACAGCTCCCTGATGGGAGGGGACAGACAGGGAGTTGGGCTGTGCTTCCAGGGAACAGGGACAGGAGGAGAGGGAATGGCCTCAGCATGGCTGTTAGGGAAAATTTCTCCTAGAAAGGGCTGCATTCTGCTTTGTTGAAGGAAATGGGTTTAATTCAAATGTTTGGTCTTTTTCTCCCCTCTTTGTTGCCAAAATTCTCATATCTTCAGGTGTAGGGTGAAGCTGTGAGGTGCAGATACCTGGAAGGCTCTTCCATTTGTAGAAACAGAGAAGCACTGAAAGCAGCCATGGCCATGCTGATATTTTCTTAACCATCCCTACCTTTAATGTAGACTGGACTGCTGTTTGTGTGTTAAAAGGTGTTAGGGAGGCTGAAGCATAGAAAGTGAGAGTTGTGCTTCTATAACAAATATCAAGAACAGCATCAGATCACACAGGGGGCCAATTCCCACGGGTTACCTGGGTAACTCACTGTGCACAGGAGTGAAACTAAACAGAGATTGATTTTCTGTGTGAATTTCAGATTTGTAGGCACAAGCACATGTAGAAGTGCACGTGAAGTCAGAATTGGTTTGTTTGCTGTCCCAAAAAGCTTAAATAACTGTGAATTACAGCAAGAACACAGCAAACAGCAAGGCAAGTGTTGGCATGGAAAAATAACAAGAATATCCTGGGACATAAATACCTGCTTACTGACACATGTATATGCACACAGAAAGGATTCTGTTAAATACCCGTAAATATATATACACGTGTGTTTGTGTCCATATATCTGTAATTAATAATTTTTATGTAATTTCATCCTTTTTAGGGTGTGCTTCTTCAGTGTTGTTCAAACTCAGAGTTTTATGTTTAAATTACCTCTCCTTGGGAATTTTTTGTTCTAGGTTTCAAGAGCAGTGTTATGAATAGTCAAGACAGCTCAGTGTCCCAAGTCTAAAGTAATTTTAGTGTAGGAATGGTAGATAAAACCCATCCAAACGAGACTTTTGTGGGTCTCATAAAATGGTATTTCTTTGAGTATTCGTTACCATGAGTGAATCATCAGCTTCAGTCACATAGTACTCGAGCAACTGCATTTTCTGAAGGCACCTGATCAAGACAGGGTACACTTAAATCTCTTTCCTCTCCTCCCAGATGCGAAGGACCTGGCTGACTGTGAGACTGAAGGCTTCTTCTCCTTGCACCAGCGCAGGGGAGCCATCAAACAGGCCAAAATCCACAACGTCAAGTGCCACGAGTTCACAGCCACCTTCTTTCCACAGCCCACCTTCTGCTCTGTGTGCCACGAGTTTGTATGGTAAATGGAACAGGATCTGTGCTTCTTCTCCTCTTAACCCCAGGAACCAGTTCTGGTGTCCGTGTGGCACTTGGGAGTGTGGTTTAGTGTTGGACGTGGCAGATCTGGGTTAGTGCTTGGAATGGATGATTTTAAAGGTCCTTTCCAACCTAAAAGATTCCATGATTCCCTGTTAAATATCTGTGCTCCTCCTGTAAGACCCTTGGCATCTTACTTGTACAGCTCTTGCATCACTTTAAGGATGTGGTTTGCAGTTGTAATTCCAACTGTGAAAAATTCCCCACACTTTTTAATTTATTTTTTAAAAATATTTTTGGGTTTGGCAAAATGCACAGGCATTTCTTGTCGGTCCAGTTTGCTGTTTGGATATCATGAAATTCAGGATGTGAATGTGTGCTGAAAAGGCTGTGAAAACCATAGAGAATCACTCCACCATTAGATTAAATGAGGATAATGAAATTGAATAATCTCTACAAAAAGTGATAAAAAGCAAAACGATTTGGTTCTCCTTCTTTGATAATTATTGCTCTCCTTTCTTCCACTGAGGCTTTCAGACAACTCAGGATTAACCACTGTTCTGTTCATTTCAGGGGTCTGAATAAACAAGGCTATCAATGCAGACGTAAGAAACTTTTAAATTTTTTTTTATTGTCATTATTTACTTAATCTTTTCTTAAGGAATTTATTTATTAACACCATGACACCTTTGCTGTTGCAGAATGTAACGCTGCCATTCATAAGAAGTGCATTGATAAAGTAATAGCCAAGTGTACAGGATCAGCAGTCAATAGCAGAGAAACTATGGTAGGTTGTATTACCATTATTATTATTGTTGTTGCTGTTATTTTATTTTATTTTGTTATCATCATTTCTTTTAAAAAAACTTCAGTGTCATTCAGTCTCTCCTACACCACTGCAAAGCAACTTCTGATGAAGCAAAAGGACCTACTGAGCTAAGGACTCTGTGATCTGATCTGTGCCCTTTGCTTTTTATGTTCCCAGTGATTTCATTACTCCTACTTAAGATTTACTCAAATGCAGCTGCAGAATAAGCAGTTGCTGAATCAGAACTGACATTTTTCTAACGCGTAAAGTATAACTCAGAGGGAAGTCATGGACACGAGGTGAAGATATACTGGAGAAAACTCTTCACTATCCAGTGTCAGGCTGGACATCAGGCTGGATTTTCAGATTTGTGCTTGAACAAATCTGTGCTTGTGTTATCTGAAACAGTCAGTGGGAGATCTGATATCTCCACTGTTATTTACTTTATTTTTCTCATGTCAGTTTATTCTAAAATTTTCTTTTTGGTAGGCAAAACCAGATCTTAAACTCCTGATAGGACTATTCCCTTTACCTTGTGTCCTACAACTTCTGTTTGCTCTCAGTCCCACCCTGGCTCCTGTTCTCCTTCTACAATTTTTATAGATGAGATTGTTCTCCCTTCTCTTCTGACATCTCCAGGGTAGATGTAACCAACTTTGTCATCACCTTTCATACTAAAAGAATTACAACAGGCTCTTCCAAGGAGTGATTCATGACAACACATTTAGACATCCATTGCAGAATGAGGTGAATCATGTTTAAAAGTACCAATGTTTTCCCACTGAGCATTAGGGGAGCCTGGGTATGTAAATGAGGCACAAGCAGTTCTTTGGTCAAGGCCAGGAATGAAATGACCCAATTCCCTCTGAATTGCAGTCACTGTGTATAAAAATTTGGGTTTGTGTGCCTGATAAGCAATTTCTGCTTGGCACCATATCCATACCCAAGGATAAGAGGGCAGTAGACAAACCAATTTCCGTGGTACACCTTTGGTTTTCCACATGGAACCAAAGTGGAAAGGAGGAGTGGGTTTTCAGCCTGGCTTTTGTCTTGCAGTTCCACAAGGAGAGGTTCAAGATCGATATGCCCCACCGCTTCAAAGTGTACAACTACAAGAGCCCCACCTTCTGTGAGCACTGTGGCACCCTCCTCTGGGGTCTGGCACGGCAGGGGCTGAAGTGTGATGGTGAGTCCCTGGCCAAGCTGGCACCAGCTGAGCATGGGAGGGGTCGTTGTCTTTGGAGGGTGGCAGTCTGAAAATCCAAATCTCATTTATCGCCCTTCTCTGCAAAAGCAGTATGAGGTGGCACCCAGGAGGGAGAAGGAGTGGTCCACAGGACTGTCCTTCAAGGAGGATTGTTCTTCAAGAATGAGAACTGTCCATGTGCTGAGAGATATTTGGTCCAGCAGGATGATGAGTTTCTTCTCAAAGAGACAAAGAGCATCACAGTAGCACTGTTCATCTTCCCAAATCACCCCCAGTATGAACTTGCAAGCTCTGTCTCTACTATCAGACCCAAGACATTTCACTGTCTTCATAATTCCAAACCAATGGGAGGATCCTCTTCTGTGATTACACTTTATCTCTGAGAAAATGGCTTGTAGTTTTAGTAGCCTGTACCTGCAGAGGCTGATGGATGTGGAAATGCAACCTCTGGCCAGAAGAAAATACAAAAATAGTCTCCATAGGGAACCAAAAAACTACCTGAGTGCCATCTCTAGAACTCTTTGGGTGGCTGATCTTTGCCCCTGACCAACAGCAGCACTTGCTCCTGCCCAACCCTTCACAGCCTTCACTGTCCTGACACCTCGTGTGCTCTCTTTCAGAGTGTGGCATGAATGTCCACCACAAGTGCCAGGCAAAAGTAGCAAATCTTTGTGGAGTGAACCAGAAACTGATGGCTGAAGCTCTGGCAATGATAGAGAGCACTCAGCAGGTAAATAGTTGAAGCATATTTTTTAGATGCTCTTCTACATTTTGGCTTTTGTGAGTCACACTCAAGAAGTCACGGTATTGTTCATAAGCTTGGCATGTGATTTTGTGTCACCATCACATTTTCTGGAAAAATCCCTTGCCCAGGATTTCTCTCCTGGGAAGCTGAGAAGCCTCAGAGAAAAAAGAAAACAATATTATCTCATTTGCTTCTCCTGTGTTTTTCTGCTTTGGAATGTGGTAGGTGATTGTTTCATTGGTTTCATGTTAATTGTTTTTACTTATTGGACAATTGCAGCCAAGTTGTGTCAAGGCTCTGGAAAGAGTCACAAGTTTTTCAGTAGTGGCTTTTAGCCTTCTGTCTGTATCCTTTCTGTATTCATTAGTATAGTTTAGTATAGTTTAGTATAGTATTCTTTAATATAATATAGATCATAAAATAATAAATTAGCCTTCTAAGAACATGGAGTTGGATTCATCATTCCTTCATTCATCTGGGAACCCTGCAAATACAAGAATTTTGTCTCAAAAATTTGCTGGTTTCTGTGTCCCAGGCTCGCTGCCAGCGTGATAGTGAACAGATCTCCAGGGATGGACCTCTGGAAATCGGCTTCCCTGTTCCTGTGAAGGATGTGACACCACTTCAGGCCTTGCCAGGATCAGGGAAAAAAGGTAATTCCTCCTGGTGATACAGGGCACAGCTTTCTTGTTGTTTGGTTGGTACATGGTGAGTTGGAGGTGATGCAAGTGGGGAATTTTTTGCCAAGCTCTAGACAGGATATTTGGAATCCTTCTGATCACCATGGCCAATTTTATTTCTGATTTCATATTTTTGGGTGGAGGTTGACTTCTGGTAGCTTTGAAAACCCCTGATGGACCTCACTTCACTCACTAGCAGCTGACCTAGGTGTCACAGCCCTCTATGGTACAAGAACAGATGTTTAGGAGGGTAAATGAGACTGTGCCCTTTGGACCCCAAGGAGAAATAAATTATGTCCCCATCTGTGTTTATTTGTGCTCTGTTCTACAAGTAGAACTGGCTGTGCTGATGTGAAGCAGTAAAGCCTCAGGTGGTTTCACATCTGTTTCCCATGTGGGTCAGTTTGTCTGCTGAGTAGTGTTCAGCATTTTAAAGCAGTTACAGCAACAGGATAAATCCAATGAAGGACAAAATCTCTTAGAAGTTCTTACAAATCCAGGTTAGTGGAGTACTGAAAAAACTCAGAGTAATTCCACTCCAGGCTGGTTGATCTGGAATGCTTCACATCCAGAGCAGCAGCACAGTATGAAAATGTCATCCCACCTTTTCATCTAGCTTTGCCCAGGGTTTTGAAAAGACCTTGAAAAAATTAAACCACATCATAATGGCAAACAGCAAGAAGGAATGGAGAAGACAGGTGGCCAGAAATTAAGGATTTGGTGCCACAGAACAGAAAGACAGATGAAGGAGTTTGTAAAGTGGTTTGTAAATTTTAAAAAAGCTACTGAAGAAGATGCAGTTTCCACTGGAGTGAAGATTCCTCTGGAGAGAAAGCAGTGTGGGAGCAGAGCCAATCTACTCAGAGATGGCCACCACACTTCCATTTGTCTAAAATACCCTTTTAAATCTCTAAGCAGAATACCCGTGAGTGTTCTGGGGATTTTCTTCTCCTGTCCAGGGGTTTATTTGAGTGCTTTGATGTCTGTTGCAGAGCCACAAGGGATCTCCTGGGAGACTCCAGTGGAGGGCACAGTGAAGGGAGAGTCTCTCATAGAATCAGACTTGGGAGAACAGTCCCAGGAACAGCAGGAGCACCAAGTGCAGTTAAAACTGACCATTGAAGATTTTGTCCTGCACAAGATGCTGGGAAAGGGCAGTTTTGGCAAGGTAAGCATTGGGACTGGGACACCACTGTGTGCATTTGCATGTTGCTTTGTGTGGCACAATAACATCTGGTTTGAAGGGACACTTAGGGAAAAAATGGAATCATTTAGGTTGTAAAAACCTCCAAGGTTTTTGCATCCAACTGCTAACTCAGCACTGCCACGTCCACCACTAACTCTGTCCCCAAGTGCCACATCCACATTTTTTGGGAACACTTTCAGGGATGGTGACTCCACCACTTTCTTGGGCAACCCCTTCCAATGCCTGACCAGTGAAGAAATTTTTTATAATATCCCATCTCAACCTCCCCTGGAACAACTTGAGGCCATTTCCTCTTGTCCTGTCCCTGTTCTCTGGGAGCAGAGCCTGACCCCCACCTGGCTGTCCCCTCCTGTCAGGAATTGTGCAGAGCCACAAGGTCCCCCCTGAGCCTCCTTTTCTCCAGGCTGAGCCCCTTTCCAGCTCCCTCAGCCCCTGCTGCTGCTCCAGACCCTCCCCCAGCTCTGTTCCCTTCTCTGGACACACTCCAGCACCTCAGTGTCTTTCTTGTAGTGATGGACCCAAAACTGAACCCAGGATTTGAGGTGTGGCCTCACCAGTGCCCAGTACAGGTCACTGCCCTGGTCCTGCTGTCACACAGTGGCTGATAAATCTCCGGGTCTTCAAAGAATCCTTGCTCTGGCATGGCTGGATCCTGAACTCCATCTTCTCCTTGCCTTGTCCTTCTGCCTGTCCCATTACTTGCTCTCTCATGACTGCCCATGGCAGGACAGGAATGCCCCAGGCAGGGTTTCAACTCCCTCTTCTGTGCAGGTTGATGGATCCAGGATATCCCCAGAGAGCTGGTGGGAAAGGTCTCCATGCTCTCCCTCTTCACAGGGAGGTGGAAGCCTGAGCTGAGAAGCTGAGTGTGGATCAGCTCTGCTCTCCAGAGCAGCAGGTCCCAGCTGGGAGCAGCAACTGCTCTTTCCAGCTCTGATCTGTGCTGGAGCCCAAAGCAAATTTTGCAGCAGCCAGGAATTTGTGCTTTTGAAACAAGAACCACCTGTTTTCAGTGGCTTCTTTAATCCTGCTGAATTGTGGATTGTTCTTCCCCATTGCAGATATCCCCTGAGAGGGGACTCGTGTTACTCAGTGCCAGCACAAAGCTGAGAGAAGCAATTTCAGAGGGATTCCCCATGGCATTTTCACAGCCAATAAGGAGAAGGAGTATGGATCACATTGCCCACATCCCACATCTTTCCAAGGGGGAAATTGTGCCTTGACAAAGAGCTCCTTCTTGCCTGCTAAATGATCTGGAGCAATTGCTGCATCCAGTTCTTCCACTGGTGAAATAATTCCTGTGTCCACCTTTTTATACTAGAAAGTAATAGAATCATAGAATGGTTTGGGTTGAAAGGGACATTAAAGACCATCCATTTCCAACTCAATGGACAGGGAGATTTTCCACCAGAAAGTGTTGTGTCTCCTTGTCATGTCCACAGTTTGCATGGGAACCAGAGCTGAGGCATCTCACAGTTAAACCAGAGTACCCCAATCCAACATTCCAGACTAACCTGAAATCAAGAGCATGGATATAATAGAAACATTGTTATTGGAAGGAAAGGATCTCTGGAGGTCTTCTTATCTAAACCATTCCTCAAAACAGGTCTCATGAGATGAGGTTGCTCAAGTGTTCATCTATTCAAGTCCTGAATGCCTCCACTGAAGCACATTCTGTACCTTGTTTTAGCCCTCATGCTGACATGGACTCTCCAAGCCTGCAAGCTTCTGCATCTCTTTGAAGTGCACATTGTGGGTGTGGAGAGGATGGGCCATCTTGTGCCTTTCTGCAACAAAAACTCACCCACGAGTTTCCTGTGCTGGTGTCACTCCTGGTGCCCTCATTTGCTTGGAGAGAGATTCACTTCCCCATAGTGGGGACAGGGTGTGCACATCTCTGTGCCTGAGGAGGTCTCTCCACCTCTGGGTGATCCTGGGAGGTTGAGGGGCAGATCCATGAGGATATCCCCCACCACCACTTCTATATGTGGTCTGGCATTGCCTGCCTGCTCCTTGGAAGCCGCAGCTTCACAAATGCAGCACATTCATTCCCCAGCTTCCCCAGGACAGCAGTGCCCAGCACAAACGTGAGGGTAAAAAGGGTGCCTGCAGCATCAGCACTGTGAGCATTTCTGGTCATTCACTGCAGAGACAGAGGGAGGCTCTACCCTCTGTCTGGTGCTACAAAGTGAAATGCAGCAGTAGCCAAAAGGGTAAATAAAACTTTTGTCAGGGCTAAAACATGTCTGAGCTTACTCAGTAAATAGTGTCTGGCAGAGAACTTCAAAGACCTCTTTGATGAATCTTACACATTTATTCAGTCTATGGAAACAGGGTCAGCAGGCTGTTAGTGTGAAGATCAGGATTGTCACTGCCTTCCAGGAGAGACTTCTTTGCTCTGGGCTCTCTAGAAAACCCTTCTCTGCTGCTCTGGGTTTCATTTTCCCTGCCTATAAAAATAGACAGAGGTTGTAACTACTCTGGGAGGTGTTTTCCCATTCCCAGAGAAGAATTCTTGCAAAAGCATGGGGGACCCAGCCTGCTCAGACCTGAAAACTGAGGAAGGACATGTGATATAAAATCAGTCCAACTACTGGTGGACATAATTTTCCACCTGCTGAAGATCTGGTGCAGGGTATTTGCATTTCAAATGCTGACAAAGCAATATTCTGTGTTTTATTATTTGAAGTCAGAAAACAGGAAATGTATCTCAGGAGCATTTGCATGAGGATGGTTTCTGTTATCAGAGGTGCTTGGCTCTCTGGCATGTCCTGTCCATCCAGGCATGTAGGACCCTGCTCCTGTAATTGCCAAGAACTTCACCTCCTTCTCCAGGGCTCAACTTCATAAAACTGTTCTGGGTGTGGGAAGCAAACTCTAAGTCTTTAATGGCAGAATGGGGACTTAAGCATCAAGGTTTTTGAGGTGTACCCCAGTGAATTCCAGGAGCTCAGCTCCCACCCTTACATGGCTGTTGTGAGAGGAGATAATCCCTCTTTCTGAGCAGCTGTTTTCATTTTAGGTGTTCCTGGCTGAGCTGAAAAGCACAGACCAGTATTTTGCTGTGAAAGCCCTGAAGAAGGATGTGGTGCTGATGGATGATGACGTTGAGTGCACGATGGTGGAGAAGAGAGTCCTCTCCTTGGCTTGGGAGCACCCATTCCTCACTCATGTCTTCTGCACGTTCCAGACCAAGGTAAGACAAGGATCTGCCGCCCCCTTCCACAGGCTGAGAATGCTTTACTGAAATGCAGATGCTTGGTGAAGGGCTTCAGCCTGCTGGGGTCCACCTGCGACATGAAGTGGTGCTCAGGGAAGGGATCTTCAGATTAAGCACTGGGGAAATGGCTCCAGAAATTTAATCTACTTTCCCCACATCAGTCTGGGGATGGAATGGTGTATTTGAGGATTATGGCATCCCAGACTCCTTGAGATAAAATCTGCTGTTAAAATCTGCATCCTGGTACCCTGGGCCAAGGATGTGCCAAGGCCACACCCACAGCCAGGGTAAGGATGTGCCCATGGTGACGTGTTACCTGAACCTTTTGGCCCATGGAGCATTGTGCTGCAGCTGGCCTGGATCAAAGCCAACTCAAGAAACCCTGGTTCTGGAGGATAAACGTGCTATGATTCAATTGTTTGCCCCAGTTACTGTTAAATGGCATCAGGCACTGGTGGTGCTGCAGTTCAGAGCACCTCCTGAAATCTCGCTTTTGACTCCAACCCAAAACTGAAGTGACATTTAAGTAATACACATATTTTCATGGTCCTACATGCCAACAACTGCTCAGCTTCCCAGAGCCACAACCAATAGCCTTAACACCAAAGCACACACAAGGCACAGAAAGAAACAATGGAAGTTTGAGAGTTTGTCTTCTCTGTCCAACCCACTCAAACCATTCCTGAGAGATGGTTGATATCTCTTAGCTCTAAATCAGAGCAGCATTGCCTCATGGCTGCTTGTTCAGGGTTTTGTTTGGATGCTCCCAGTCCCTGCTCAGCTCCAGGGTCTGGTGGCACAAGACACTGCTCAGTGTAAGGTTAGGACCTGCTCAGTGGGAGGTTCTGCAGGGTCAGGAGAAACAAACACAACCTCTGTGGTACATCCCAGTAATCTGTGGGATGTGGCACCTGTTTAAAGACAGGTTAAATTTATAACAGGCAACGTCTGGGAACTGCTGTATGTGATGTGACACTGAGCCCAGGCATTCATGTTTAACCCCTTTGGGACTGACAGTGGGGATAATGTCTCCTGGGAATGGATCCTTGCCTGGCAAGGAAAGGAATTAATTCCCTGCTTGAGGAGGGCTGGTTTTCAGAGGAAAATATTAATGCCACAACTCCAAAAGCAAAGATCAAGATTTGATTGAAGCGATAAGATACTGACAATATTCACAGCTCTGTGAGGGAGCTTTTGCTCCAGGGATTGCTCCTGCATCTCCAGAGGGATGCTGACTGAAGCCAGCAGAGCCATGTTGTCTGTGCTCCAGCCTGGTCTGGGAGCTGTAGGTCAGGTTCAGGATGGTACAGCAGGGCCAGTCTGGAGCACTGGCTTCAGGCAGTGCAGGCATGCAAGCGTCCCCTTCCCTTATGAGACCAAAAGAGGAGAGACAAAATGGAGTCATGTCAGGATCCAGGTGGGATTTACTGACTGTTTAAGGGGAAAAGCTGAAGGATGGAAAAGCAATAAGTGCCTGAAAAATTCATGAGTGCCAGGCTTGAAAAGCCAGATGATTTTTTTCCTACACTTCAGGGCAGTGGCACAGAATTTCTCTGCTGTCATGGAGAAAGAATTCCCATCCATCTCATCCCAAGCCATCACTGCCACTTTAAAGCCATCTTCCCACCTTGGCTCTGCAGAGAGAGGAGCTGGGATGGGGCTGCCACAGCCAAAGCTGCTCTGGGCTCTGATTGATTTCCAGCTCCTGCTTTTTCTCCCCTGACCTTTGGAAGCCAGCAGTGATCACTCAGTGCAGGAAAGTCACCCGGAGCTGGGAGCTGTGACAACCTTGGATGGTCTTCCAGGGCTCAAAGCACTGTGGTTGGCAGAATGTCTTCTATAGCAATCATTTTAGGATCATGGAATGGTTTGGGTTAGAAAGGACCTTAAAGATCACCTATTTCCAATGACCCTCCCATGGCCAGAAGCCACAGCACCACTGTAGAAAGTCCTTCCATGGATTTTAATATTGAAAATATGACCTTTTTTATGTTTCTTGAAATTTCACTGGGTAGATAAGTAGTTTCAAACTGAAACATGTGTGCCAATGGCTTTCTGAATCCCTCATTCTTTGGCTTACCTGAGCTGATCCAGGTGCTGCATGTCTCTGCAAGGACACTAAAAACAGAAATATTCCTGCACCAAAACAAGGACCTCAATAGTTCACATATCTCCATAGGGGGAAAAAAATCCTTTAATCTGCTGACAGCTCTCTGAGCTCTGGGATGAGTTTCTTCCTCACCTCCACCCAGGTAATGAGTGACTGCTCAATTATATAAATCAATTATATTAAAAAATAGCTCTTCAGACATGTTTTAGATGGCACCAGGCACTTAATGCCCCTCTCTGTTTCAGTGGAGTCTGAATGATCAATGCTTTCAAAACTCAGAATACTTTTCTTGTTTTATTGCATGAGAATAAATGCAAGCCCACAGTGTTTGGGTTTGGTTTTGTTTTTTTTTTTGTCCCATCTCTTTTTGAATTTTTCTGGTTTATTTTACTGCAGTCATCTTTGTATCCAGATATTCAGCTGACATAATTACATACTCTGAATTTTAACAATAAGCTCAAAGAGCTATTTTGCTATTCTGCTGTATTAGATTTAAAGGGATGCTGTTATGTTAAAGAGGAGAAAAATATGTTTATAATTCTGTGAAATCCCAAAATCAGTGATGCCAAAAGAGTAACTAGCATCCCAGAGCTTATGTTTTATTCTTTTTTGCATTTCACTGATCTTCTGCCATAAAAATAGGCTTTCCCTTTTTGAAAGTCACTTTTATTTCTGTTTCTTTACTTCATTGACCAAGTTTTATTAAGACCCTTTACCTAAATGCAAATTAAATCTTGAGGCATTTTGACTTGCAGCACAAAATAGCAACAGAGAAGATTATCTGAACCCAAAAAAGAAGTAATCGTTACTGCAATTTAAAAGAAAATATTACAGAAATGTTTATTTTCTGCTTTACTGCTGTATTATATGTTTCCTTCTGGTGGTGAGCCTTTTTCACATCCTCTGTTGCCTTTGTGTGCTTAATACTGACTGAAAAATTTCTTACACTGGCAAGAAGGAGAAAAGAATCATAAAACAGAAGTGTGGTCCTAATTTGAAAATACTTTGTCTCTGTTTTCCATGGGTATTTTCAGGTTTCTCAGTAAAATATCCCCTCAGAGCTTACTTCAATTCCTGAATTATTTTTTTCCCAAGCATGATTTCTGTTTTCTTCTCTCTCTGACTGGCTCTTGATGGGCAGGGCTGATTTCTTTGCCCTGAATCAGAGCATGGGGTTGGCACGTGGGCATTTCACACCCTTTGGATGTTCAGCTCCTCTGCCTGCTGGTGCCATGGACCTCCTGAACAGCCCTAGCTCCATCCTCCTACTTTTTCTTGGAAACATCTGTCCATCCTGGTAGTATTCTAAGTACTTTGAGCTTGGAAAAAAATATTCAAGGCCAAATTTGAAGCAGCTGATGGGAAATTTTAGGAAAGCTTTGAGGATTTTGCCTCTTGCAACCAACAGGCAGGAAAACTGGCAAGGTCTCTTTGGATCCTGGCCACAATTTCAACGTGGTTTAGCAGAAATAGCAGCACCTCAGCAGAGCTTTGGGATTTCTACGAGGTTGTGCCAGAGGAGGTGTGAGCAGCTGTAATTAAAACATCAAATATGTGAAGTTTCTGCAAGACACTTTGAGGTGGTGTCAGCCCATGTGGTGTGAACTGGGGGGAGGCATTGGCCAGGAAAAGAGGAGGACAGCTCACCAGTGGGGTTTTTTAAGTAAAAGATGGTTGCCATATTTAATACACATATTGTCATTGCCTCCCCATTGTCCAGCCTGAGGGAAATCAGCCCAAAATGTATTCAAGCTTTGCCTGAGATTTCTGAGAATCTGCAGTCTAGCTGCACTTTATCCTGAAAAAAAAATTACTTCCTAATATAAAAATATTTACATTTTTTCTGCTTTTCAACTGCTAAAATATTTATGTTTCATGCATTTGGCTACTTTTTGTTTTGTTTTTGGTCTGGTGATTTTTTTAAAATTTTTTTTTATCCACAAATCTTTCTCTAGCCTTGAGAAAATTAGTCTCTCTCCAAGATTCTGCTGGACACTGATAGGGAAAACCACTTCCTCTTGCAAGACATGGGCTGATAGTGCCTCAGTTTATCAGTGAGTGATGGACTCTGTCTGCTCTGAGTGTGAGTAAAGGTCTTGGGATCTCAGAGCTCAAGTGGAAGCCAAGCCTGCACCTTCCTCTCTGCAAATGTATTTCATTTATGTGTATAAATGTATCCCTGTGCTTTGTACCAAGCAGATGGGGACACCACGCTGAGCATCCCAAATGAGCAGCTCAACACGCAGCTAGGAATGCTGACAGTGCAAGGACTAGAACAAGGAATAAACAGAGAGAGATGGGACTGGACTGGATTATTGGGCAGCTGTAAGAAATGCTGCCATCTCCAGAAGATAGGCTGATATTACACAAAAGAGGGGGTGAAAGTGTTTAAACCAGAGAACAGAATTAAAGTTGGGATTTCTCTGGTGCAAATTCCAGTGCAGGTAAATGCCTCTAAGCACCTCCTAGGAAGGAATAACCCTGTGTTAACTGTTCCTTGTGACAGTGCACACAGTGAGGACTGCATTGTTTTCTTTCTCACTGGATGGGATGCTCTGATGGGATTGCAGCACTGACTGATGTGGTGGAAAAGGCTTGAGATGCTTTTGGCTGCCAACTGTCCCATGAAATAAAATAGATCCAAGGAGTGGATCTGCACCCAGACTGTGCTGAGCTGCACGAAAAGGTGAGACCAGAATCAGCTGCAGGAATTGCATCATGTCCAGCCTTTCTCTTGGCCAGGGACAGCCTAGTTCAGTGGGAATGCAGCAGGATTAGGTCACTTAATCTGGAGCCTTCTCCATGTGGAGACATTCATTAGGGTAATTGATCTAAACACAGCTAAAGCCACACTGTCCTGCAGCATTAATTATTCTGACATTCATCCTCCTGGAAGCCCTGGGAAGAAGAATTTTTGCTCCTCAGTAAATGGTGCTAAATTGTGTATTTGTATGTATGCAAGTGCTTTCAAAATGCAAAGAAAACAAAATCTGAAAATCTCTGCAGAAAAGTGCTCTGGAGGGCTTCCAGCTGGTTAAAGGATTTTAAGAGCCTGTTAAAGGATGTACCTTCAAAAGATCAATTTAAATGCTGCCTGCTTTATACTCATTGTTTATAAAGTTGAAAGCATCTCTGATAGTGCCTATTCATTCTCACAGCAGCAGAGCAGGAGCAGGTTGGTTTAACTCCATCCCTGCCGTGTCCTGGAGAGGCAGAGGGAGCAGGTGCCTCTGTGGGGAGGAGCTCAGCTCAGCATGGGCATTGAGGGATTGAAGGGGCAGGAAACTGAGTTCCTGCAGTAATCCAGGCTTTCAGCACCTGGCAGGACTGGCTGGGCTGGGGAACAGTGTTATTTTGTGTGCAGGAGCTGTGTTATTTTGTGCAGGACACTGCTGCCACGTCTGTGTGTTGTACAACCTCGTGTTGTAGGGCTCTGTCTGCTGTAGGAGCAGCATTTCACCTCCCACCTCCAGAAGGGTTTGTCCTATTCCCAGTGCTGTAATGGAGAAAGCCCCTGGGAGATGGTCTAGAAGTAGGGAATGCCTGATACATGGAAATTTCTTAAGATGACTGGTGTTAAATACAGCAGGATGTGTTTGGACAATGATCCCAGGCACATGGTGTGATTCTCAGGGATGTCCTGTGCAGGACCAGGAGTTGGACTTTGATGATCCTTGTTGGTCCCTTCCAGCTCAGAATTTCTATGATTTTATAACTACCCTGGTGCAGTGTCCATTCCTGAGTGCAGGAAGGGCCTTTGCAATCCTCCTTGAGCTCTGTATTTGCAAAAGATGGTCCTGAGGTCTGCCAAGAGACCAAACTTTTTCTGTTGTGCGAGTCCAGAACCATGACCAAAAAAGTTAGACTTGAGCATTTGCTACCCAGGGATGCTCCCACAGGTGGTCAGCAAGCTGTCTGTCACCTTTCCAAGCCTGCTGCAGAGCTGTGTGGGTCTCACCACTGAGGAACAACATTCCTGCTTGTTTGCTCAACATCCACAGGCAGGTCCACTGCAGGGGATGAGGGCATGGCAGAGCCTTGAGAATCAGAGAACAGTTTGGGTCAGAAAGGACCTTTAAAGGTCATCCAGTCCAGCTGCCCTGCAGTCAGCAGGGACATTTTCAACCAGATAAAACCCCCTTGCCTGCTCCAAGTGCTGACAGGCTCCAGGGCCTCCCAGCAGCAGGCAGGAGCCATCAGCTAACTTTCCCAGGACAAGAGGAAGTGAAGCTGGAGCCTGTGTGCAAGAACGTCCTCCGCGCCACTCCGACCCTTTGACCTCCAGCACTCTCTTGAATTTTCGGTGGTTTCAAGAATGGGTTGTGCCACTTCCCATATTTAATGTGTTCTGTGGCTCTGTAGAGGCCAGACCTAGGAAGCTGACTCCATAAGTTGTTGCACTTTGCCTTTCTTGGTTGCACCTCACTACTCATAGTGACGCAGGGCTGATCACAACCAGTTCTCCTCCATGAGCTATTCCAGACATCTGCACTTCTTAAGAAGCAAGGGGAACTCCAAGCCCCACAGCAGAAAAGTCAGAGTGATCCTGTCTGTCTTTTCAATAGGGATTATGTTCCAGTCTATAGCACCTGATATATCATAACCTTTAGTACTAAACATTCCTAAGTAAAGTTTGTGTCCTCCAGCTCCATAGCTTAAGGAAGTTGAGCAACAGGGTTTGTATATGTGGATGTAAATTAATCCGAGGGGTTGCTCCACCTTTTCTTCCCTCAAGGATGCTGCCAAAGTCCCCAGTTTCAAGTCAGAGTCCCTGGGTTCAGTTAAACAGCTACATCAGATGATTGCTCAAGTCCATGAGCAAGCAGAGCGTGACTGTTCATTCTGCTGGATAAACATGGATTTCAGGTTACAGATGGAGATGTGTGATGAGGTGTAGCCAAAATCAGTGGACTTTGCAGGGGAACTGAGAGGTTTTCTCCTTCCCAGCCTGCTAAAGCTGAGTCTGGCCCATTTCAAGACCCATGAGGTTTCTTCAGTCCCAGCAGGACACGTGTGGTTGCTGGTGTGTTTTTGGCTAAACCCCATCACCTCCCTGTGTACCTTCCCAAAGAGCATCTGTTCAAGTATTTTCCTGAATGGGCTCCTGAGCTGACGTTGATTCCAAGATTTATACATTTCTTCACTAAATTTCCCACCTTCCTCTGGCCTTTTTACTTGCTGGAACTCATTTATGTGCACAGCCCCCTGCAGGTGCAAGAAACACTGAAAACCTGCACCCATTTGGTTTAGTGATGGAATTTGTATTCTTTCCCCAGGAGGCCAGATCTGGCTTTGAGCTTGTTGGATGACAGGTGGGGTTTCCAGTGAGTCCATTTAAACAGAGTGCTGTAATTAAGAGGATCTGGCTAAAGAAATTGCACAAATTAGAGCAGACAGCTGTTGTTTGAAAGGAACAAGCACTTTTGTGGTTTTTTTAACATAGCCAGTTCTTGGCTTGCTTCCAGAGATACTTCCATTAGATCTTATGGATAAAAACCTTCAACTGTTAAAAATATAAGTGAAAATAACTCTATTTCCCCCCCAGAAAAAAATGTAATGAGCAATAGGCAGCATAAGGAAGATATTAATAAACTTTATAGCATAGTCTATAGATGACTGACTTCAGGTGTGTACAGAACAGAGAGAGGCTTTTGAGGGGAAAAAAATACCACATCCATTTTGTTTTATTCCTACATTTATGCACAAAAGGTGAGATTCCCAAAACAGAGGTTTAAACTGGGACCATAACTCAGTGTGCAAATCCTTTTCCTTCAGAAAAAGGTGTTCTTTCTGCTTTGTAGAGACAATACAGCGTGGAAGGGATCAATCCAAACCAGCTTCTGCAGGGTGCTGGTGGTGAGTTTTGGCTCTTGAAGCTGTGAGAGGATCAGTGCCATGAACACGAGCAACCTGGTCTAGTGGGAGGTATCCCTGCCCAGGGCAGGGGGTTGGAACTTTAGGGGTCTTTAAGGTCCCTTCCCACCCAAACCATTCTGTGATTCCATGATTCTGTACCAAGAGTTGGAAAAGAAACCTCAGTGATCAATTCTGCCCATTATATATTGAGAGATTCCATCATTTCTACGTACCAGGAGGAGAGTTTTTCACTGCCCTGGTCAGTGCAACTGGGGACAAAAATTCAGCTTTTTCCAGGTTTCTCTAACATGCAGGTGCTCAGTGGGCATCTAGAGATATTGAAAGTAATGATTAATTCATTTATTCAATTACTTTCCCCACTAGCAAGTTACATAGGGCAGCTTTCAGGCTTAAAATCAAGCATGAGCCTAAAACAAAATGCTGTGTCTGGTTGGTGTCTCTGATGACTTGAAGAAGTCAGACCCAGGTGCCTCCACAGGAATGTGCAGGAATGCAGGTGACACCAGCTTGAAGTCACACCACTGGATGGGTACAGTACTGGGATGGGGACTAGAGGAGAGCTGGGAGTGACTTTTGCCTTTTCCATTAGAAGCTTGTCCATTTGTCCCTCTGCTGTAGAGGCACTGTAAAGTTACTGAGTCCTTTCTGTGAGCCTGGAGCTCTGCTGACTAAAATCCACAGCCCCAGCTGGTTATGAAGTGGCTTTGCAGTGTTTGCTAATGGTGTTTATAGAAATTAGAGCAGGGAGTGTGAGTATGGGCTTGGGGAACCAAGAGGAGAAATGAGGAATGTAAAAAAGGAGCTGTTTTCTTTCCAAAACCCTCACAGTAATACTTTCCTTCTTCTTTTTGAGTGCTTTCTGTGTGGTTTGATTTATTCAAAAAATATTTAAACTTTTACCTCGCTCCTCACCACCCCTTATTTATTCTCACCTTGTCTCCTTTCCTAGGAAAACCTCTTTTTTGTGATGGAATACCTCAATGGAGGAGACCTCATGTTCCACATCCAGAGCTGCCATAAGTTCGACCTTCCCAGAGCAACGTAAGACATTTATCATTGCCTTTGGGCCTGGCTTGGTTTTATTCCCAGCTCTGCCACTGCCCTGTAGAGGAAATCTTGGGCAGATTATCTGACCTCTCTTCACCTTGCCCAGCTGAAAAGTGGGGATGATGCTTGTGCTGGAAGCCTCTCTATCCCAGCTGTCTCCAAACTCAACAAAACCATACAGGCCATCCTCCCAGCTCAGTGAAGGACTGGAGTGAGTCACTTCCCATCCTCTTTTCCCTCCCACTGAAGACTTTCAGACTCCATCCACACACTTGGTTTCACTCAGACATGACCTTGCATCTTTACAACACTCTGTAGCCAAGCTGCAGGACCTGCTTAAGCTGAGGTTCCCAGCCCAGTGGTCAGAGGTGAAGCTATTGTTTGTTAGAAGTAATGGGATTTTCACTTTTTCCCCTTCAAGTTCAAGGGGGTGGGGTGAAAACCTATCAAAAGCACAAAAGGTAAATTTAAACAAAAAATTAATATACCAGCAGAGAATTAAATATGTATTTAACTTTGATTAAAGTAAATAGAAGAACTGGAATAAATGAAAGGTGCTTTTGATCCTTCTGCAAGCAAAAGGTATTTTGAAAGTCAATATTGAAACCACTATAGGAATTACTTTTATTTAATAATTTAATAACAAAAAACCTACACCGTCTTTTAAATCAGTGTTTGATGATATTTTTCAAATGCATTTGAATGTCCAGAATTAAGGGCCAATGCACTGAAGGCTGAGGGAGCAGAGCTGTGCCACACTGGAGGGGGATATTATCCTCTGGTTTCATTCCCTTCTGGGATAGCACTTTAATTCTTCACACTGGTGCTGCCTCTTGGCAGCAGGATGTGGTGGAGTCCTTTGGATAAAAATGTGGAGTCCTTTGGGTAAAAATGTACTGAGAACAGCAATTTCAAGCTCAAAAACACTCCAGAGAAAGGCCACCAGCCTGCTGGATAGCCCATATTATGGACAAACTTTCCAAATCAGAATAAATTCTTCACTGAAATTGTGGTCAGTCATTGGAACAGGCTGTGCAGGGAAGTGGTGGGATCACTGTCCCTGGAAGTACTCAATAAATGTGGATGTGGCACTTGGAGATGTGGTTTTTAGTGATGGTTTTGGCAGTGCTGGGTCAATGGCTGGACTCGATGCTAGATGGGTTTTCCAGCCTAAATAATTCCAGAATTCCAGGATTCTTTGAAAAGCAGGTCATAAATCTGAGCAGGGAGTCTGTCTGTGCTCCCCATCCCAGATTCCCCCTGCTTTTGGGAATCTTACATCACCCATCAGGAAAACACAGTCACCCCAAGACTTCTGGAGACACTCCGAACCTTCTGGGAACCTAATGAAATTTTGGCTGTGGGGACAAGGTTTCCCTCTTTTTTGGTGTAGTTGAAAAAACCTTTGGGAAGCTCCTGTTCTGACCTGTGCCTTCTGTCATTCAGGTTTTATGCTGCTGAAATAATTTGTGGGCTCCAGTTCCTCCATTCCAAGGGCATAATATACAGGTAATTTTATTCTTTAGTGTAATTAATATGCTAAATGCTAAACCTTTTCTGCTTTTCCCTGCAAGCACCAATGGCAGCAGAGAGGCTGTTTCTTGGCTGTACTTACTGGCATTGCAATTCCCTGCAGATTTCCCTTTTACATAGTTTGGGTGTTTTATTTTAAAGAAAGATCAAAACTGCCTTTTCTACACTCTTTCTTTCAGAACCCAGTTCTTTTTTAGTTAACAGTAAAACAAATTAATTTATTTGGATTTATTTTTTACATTTTGCATTTACACAGAGCCATTTACACAGCACCCAGTGTAGGCACCTTGTTTAAGCTTTGAACATATCAAGGTATATTAAGGTCAAGTAAGACACAAGAAATTTGGTACATCTGCTATGCTGGTTACTTTGGGACAGTGGTGACAAGCTCAACTCAAGTACCAAAAGCAGGGAGACAGTGGTATATCTTGATTTTTGATTAATTTTGTGCACAGTGGGGAGATGGGGTTCATCTCACCATCATGAATCTGAGTCGTCTGTCAAGTTCTTGTAGTAAGCAGAGAGCAGAGGGCATCTTTAGGTTAATCAAGCCTGAGTTAAAATGTGTATGGGAAGTGCCCAGTTCTACCAGAAATTAGGCCACAGTCTGATTTCCCATGGCCAAAAGGAGGAACTGAATTTCTGGGGAGCTCTGGTGAAGCTCATCTTCGTGGCAAAATTCAGTTACTACTACATTGCAGTCTTCTTTAAAAGCAGAAAACAAATAACGTGTCACAAATAAATGAGAAAGCTTCCTACAGCAATGATGTTTGCTGAACCCAAAATGAGCTTATTTCAGTGTTTGTCATGTAGCATGAACATTAGAGCAAATGCTGAAAGTGGATGCCTTGCTCACAAGCCATTCTCCCTTTAAAACATGAGCTTTGATTCTTATTAGTACCCATGTGGGAGCCATTTATAGTCTTTATTGACCAGTGATGGTGATTGCATAAACATGAGATCAATATCAGTGGCATTAAGCTAAGATCATCTCTGGGCCCTCAGCAACTTTTCCTGCTCTAATTATTATTCTCCATGAGTGAAGGGAAAAATTTTCTGAAGTGCCCAAATCACTTGGCCATGTCTGTTATTTTTAGTCAGTCTTCTCAGAAAATCTGATTAAAAATATATGCAGGACATGGTGACTTTATGGCAGGGCTGCTAATGCTGACATTTTATTTATAATTCACATTTTTACTTGGAATCACTGTGCCAGTGCCGTGTTGGGGTTTGGGACCCATTTCCTCCTGAAAGGAGAGGAGTGCTTAGAATCTGGAGCCTTGGGAATTGAGGGAAAATTGGGACATCTGGGCACTGGGTAGCATGTGGATAGGAAGAACTATCTCATTCCCAGGAATTGGTGATATTGCTTTGGGTATCAAGCATTGAGAGAAAAGGTTTAACCAGTCCTACTCTCTTTTCCCTTTTTCACTGAAGACAATGACAACGAGGTCAGCTGAGAACATAGAGTCATCAGTATCTCTGTCAGAGCAAACTAAGCACTTAGGAAAGTGAATAGAAATAATTTTTGAAGCTACATCTCTTGCGATGTCGTAAGAATAATGAATCCAGCTGTTCTGTCTCATGCGCCCACGTTTGGAAACATTGGCTGAAATTTTAACGAATGAGACAAGGTATTTTTTGGCAGAAACCCCAGTCCCTGGGGCCAATGAGTTTGAGACTCATCAAAATAATGAAAGCAAACTGTAGGTGATGGGGTTTTTTTGTTTTGCTTCAATCTACCGGATGAATAAAAGCAGTGCTGGCAGCCCGAGATTGATCTCAACATTGTAACTAAAATAAGTCATTCCAGCTGGAAATTGTGACAACATGAGTGTCTGCCACTTGGAAGGCAAATGTCTCGGTTTTCTCTGTATTTCTCTTTGATTGATGACTCCCATTTTGTCTGGGGCCATATTCTTGCAGCAGTGAACAATTGCCCTGTGACAACAATTCAGTGTGTAAACACTACAGTGTCCCCCACCCTGATGGGGACCTGGCCCAAGCAAGACACGGAGCTTTGCACAGAGGGATTCTGAAGAATCATCTTCCCTGCAATTGCAGGCCATTATCTCAAGAGCATCAAGCAATTACCTTATTTGAGGAACATTTCTGAAAAAAACCCACATTGTGCAGCAGTTGTCAGAGGGAGGGTGTCCCTGCAGTAGCCTCGTTGTTAGACCTCTTGCCTGAGACATGGAAAATCACAGAATCACAGATTCAGAGTGGTTTGGGTTGGAAGGAACTCTAAAGATCACCAGCCCACTCACCATGGGCAGGGATGCCATCCACAGGATCAGCCCCATCCAACTGGGCCTTTTGACCAAAATATGTGCAGGCTGTGAATTAGCATGAAAAATAACAGTTACACCCTCAGCTGTGGGTACAAGCAAATGTGTCTGGGTGCTTTGGGAGCCCTGAGAAGGAGCAGTGATTGCTAGCACAAACCAGGCAGTGCAGGAATGTCTGTGCTCATAGACCAGGTGACCCAAATTCCACCCACATTCCCAGTTAAGAGCAGCATCACTGATACAAACATTTTACCTGGGCCGTTATATCAGTTAAAACAAAACCTTTAGGTAAGATTTAAGAAAGTTGACATAGAAACCATGCCAGCCTTCCTTTCTTTCTGCCTTTTCTACTTTACAAGCTTTTGTCTCCTTTCAGAGTTAGCTCCCACTTGAGGACCTCTTTGTTCTCCACCAATGGTCATGATTCATCAGCTTATTTGCTTTTATTTCCTTCTCTGTCCATTTCTGTTTTCTTCCTCTCTCAGGGCTCTTTGCTTCTCAGAGTAGCTCAGAACCTGAAAATTCAGACAGCAGCCTGGCAGCTGAGTGTGAAAGGTTTTGTAAATCCCAGGGTTCAGATGGTGCAGCCCAGCAGTGGTGGGGGCTCTGCTGATGTCTGGCGTTATTCTGACCTTCTGCAGGGCTTGTGGGTCCTTACCTCTTGTGATATTTGTAGAGTCTGCACTACAAGGGAGATCTGGCAGCAGCTTCAGAGAGAATATTGAGATTCCCAAGGGAGGAGAGAGTGAGAATTACCTGCTCTCTTTCTCCAGGTTGTGTTAGGGCAGAAGCAGCAGCTGGCACAAAGCCCTTCTTAGCTTCACTATTGTGCATCCTCAAAGGAAACAGATTTTAGAACATGTCTTGGCTGATGTGATCCCTGGAAGTGTTCAAGGCCAGGCTGGATGTGGCTTGGAGCACCCTGGGATAGTGGGAGGTGTCCCTGCCCATGGCAAGGGATTGGAACTAGGGGATCTTTACGGTCCCTTCCAAGTCAAACCATTCTGTGATTCCATGATTCTGTGTCTTCTCCAGCAGATAAATCAGTGCTGCAACAAGAGAAATGCAGGAGAGGGATGCTGAAGCCCAAGAGAGCAGTTCCTCATTTATCCCTCAGCCTTCCTTTGTATTTCCAGCATGGAGGCACTACACAGAGGCAGAGAACAAGTGTAACCTGCTAAAATAACTTGTGTGCTTTACATTTGAAGAACGAGATTTTCTTCTCTTCCTCCACAGAGACTTGAAGCTGGACAATGTCCTCCTGGACAATGAGGGGCACATCAAAATTGCTGACTTTGGGATGTGCAAGGAGAACATGTTTGGAGATGCAAAGACAAGCACTTTCTGTGGGACTCCTGACTATATTGCCCCTGAGGTAGGTGTGGGGCACAGGGAGGTCAACAAGTGCTCTGGGACAGGGAACACATCTCCAGACATGGCTGTTGTGCAGTGGTGGAGGCTGAAAAGAGCAATCACCTGGTTTGGAGCAGTTCCAGGCCAGAAACTGGATTTCAGCATGGCTCAGAGTCTGTGTTGCTGTTTGGCTTTGCTTATTTTTGTGGCTAATTCATTTTTTGTTGCAAGTGGAACTTTGGCTTAAACCAAGAAAGAGAATGCTTAATGGAAATTCTTTTTGGGCCATGGCAGAAGAAACTCCAAGAGGTCTTTCAGCTGAGGGACAGACACAGCCTGATGAATGCTGACTGTGCCCTTTCCCTTATTTCTTTCAATTTTTAACCAGAAATTTGTTCTTTTTTTTTCCCCCTAGAAAATTTAGGTATTTTGAACTAGATCCCTCCAGAAAAGAGAAAGTTTCCTTAACCTGATGACTTCACACAGTGATAGATCTTACTGTGGAGAGGCTTTGACTAATTAGGTGGCCAAAGAAAATACTTTTTTAGCTCAGAGAAAAACCTACAAGTCATCCATGCATCATGTCTGACATTGGTTTGAAATCCATTTATTTACCTTTCAAGATCCCATTTTGTAATTTTAGTGTTTTCATGATGGATATTGATATTTTCCAAAGAGTTGCCAAAGCCTTTGGGTTTTTTTTCCCTCTGCTATAATTCACTGGTCCTTCACTGTGCACTAAGGGCTCGAGTCTGGCTGAGGTTACACCACTGCTGGCTCAAGGGTCTCTTCAAATCAATTGGATTTCTATTGCCTAAGAATGGGTGTAAATGTGCTCTGCAATCAAGCTGCAATTGTCTTTTATTCCACTTCAGTGTGCCTTTATTTAAGAAAAAAAAAAAAGCTATTTTTTGCTCCTAAAAAAAAGATAGCCAAGCGTTGATCCATTATCTGTGATTTGATTTTATTTTATAGAAAAGAGAAAAACTGAAATAGCTCAGAGTTTTATTTCTACACCATGTTTATTTTAGGGATTCAACGAGTGCATATAAAACATTTTATCTCTAAATTGAAAGCACTTCTGGAGTTTATGGATCATCTCTCCTGCCACAGGCAGGAGCACTGGACTCTGTCAGTATTTCACTGCAGCTGCTGCCACTGTAATTTGTTACAGACCCAGCACCTTGCCACAGCCATGCAAATAAGGGGGGTATGGGTCAGTAGACAAGCAATTTTTTTCATTTCAAAAAAATCTGACCAGAAAATAAGGCAACCTGAAATTTATTACTGAGTTTATTTTTGTCCCAGAGAATTTCAAACAAAATAAACTTTTATTTGTGACTGATTATTTAAAACACTTTAATTTCAATTTCCACATACTTTAGACTTTTAAAGATAAAGCCTTATAAAAATAATTTCTCTTCTCAGAGAGAAAGGTTTGGATGATTTTATTTGTGATCCAGAAAAAAATATATTAAGGGGTTTTGCTCATTATTTTTTTTTGGCTCTGAGTGGAACTTATTGCATATATTACAGCATATATTCAAATCTATTTTTTGTACTTTTGGCATCTCCTCTTTTGGAGAGAGATGTAGGATAGAGCATCCCATTGCAACCAAGATGTGGGCTCAAAGACTGTGCCTCGAAATTAAATTTTCCAGTCTACAGCTCTAAAATTCTGCTAAGAATCTTACACACCACAGTCATCATGTGAACCTTTAGATATCTGCAATGTAAAAATCTATATATGAGCAGGTTTTGAGGCTCTTTGAGAACCAAAGGAGACAAATTGGTTGTATTTTACAGCAGGTGGGTATTTAATTAGATGTTTAAAACTGGGTGAATTTCCTTCCTTGGCTATAAAAGGAGCTAGTGATAAGTGGTCCAGCTCTAGATATCTCCACAACAGATATCTAAAGGCAGGTGAGATTAATTTTGCTTCTCCAGAGAAGAAGTTTGAGAACTTGGTTATGGTCCTTTAGGCCCTGGGGAGGTCGTCATTCCAGCTGGATGTCACTTTACAGGTGACAATGAAAGGCACAAGCCAAGGGACTGGCTGAGGACAAATTCCCATTCTTCCATCTAAAACCCAGTTGGTCTCAAAAGGACAGATCAGCAACCCCTTTCATGTTTTTCCTGGGGAAGATTTTGCTGGGTAGAGTCACACCATTTAAAGTGACTGGTAGTCCTGAACTACTTTTAAGCTGCCACATTTGTAATTTTAAAACTCAGCTTGAGTCACTGAAATCAATCCCAAGATGCTGATTCCTGACCATTTGTCTTCTTGGACTTCACAAGCCTGATTTGAACCCTTGGAGAGTAGGCTAAAGATGTCTTGTCTTATCTTCCATATTTGAGATCTCTCTCGTAGCCAAGGATTTGTTCAAGTCACAGAAGAGCTACATGTAGCCTGCTCTCTGCAGGGACTGTTTTGGCACCCAGGCGTGGCTGTGCCTCGTTGCTCCAGATTTCCACTGGCAGAATTCTGGCTCCTGCTGCAGGCAGGGGGGAAGTGTGGTATTTTCTGAGACCCCCGTTGAAGGGAGGAAAGGATGAAATTTGACTCTATGTTTTTATAAGGTTCATTTATTATTATATTATTACATATGATATTATTATATATTATAGATTATATATATTAATATAACATTATATAACATTATATAACATTATATAACATAACATAACATAACATAACATAACATAATATAATATAATATAATATTATATTATATTATATTATATTATATTATATTATATTATATTATAACTATACTGAAGAATACAGAAAGTCAGAAAGATATTAATCAAAACTCGTGACTTTCTCTTCTAGAGTTTGACACAGCTTGTCTGTCATTGGGCAATAAGTTAAAGCAATTCACACATTGGATGATCAATCTCTAAACTACATTCTAAAGTAGCAAAACACAGGAGAAGCAAATGAGATAATATTGTTTTCCTTTTTCTCTGAGGCTTCTCAGTTTCCCAGGAGAGAAGTCCTGGGCAAAGAGATTTTTCAGAAAATATGACAGTGGCAGGGAAGCACCTCTGATAGAGCAGCTGTTGCAAGACCATGGTCTGGCCACCCTTCTGAAGTTGAAAAACTCATGTCAGACATTTTACTACTGCCTTTGTGCCTCTTCTTTCTGGGCAGATACTGCTGGGGCAGAAGTACAACACCTCCGTGGACTGGTGGTCCTTTGGTGTCCTCCTGTATGAGATGCTGATTGGCCAATCCCCTTTCCATGGCCAAGATGAGGAGGAGCTTTTCCAGTCCATCCGTATGGACAACCCCTTCTACCCTCGCTGGCTGGACAAGGATGCAAAGGACATTTTGGTGAAGGTGAGGATCACCACCCATCAAATGAAAGTCTGTCTACCAGAATTATTGTCTTAAATTTGTTTATCTTCAGCTGTTGTAGAGAGGAGCAGATTTAGTTTAGTCACTGTCTTTCCTGTGGGCATCAAACCACACCTCTCCCATAAGGAGATTTGGGTGTCTTCCTTCTCTTGATTTGTGATGGTGGCTCCTCACAGACACCAGCAGAGATCAGTTTATTTGCAGAGCAGTCCCTAAGGTGCAAAGCTTGTTAACTCCTGGGAAAAATACTTCAGTCTAAGGGTTACATCAGACTGAGATGTTGAACATCTCTTTTTGGGGCACATGCTGCCACCTTTCTGCCCAAACAGTCTATACTTCTGTCAGGATTAGAGGTAGTAATCATCTTAATACCAATCAGTAAACTTCCTTGTTTAGGAAAAAATATCCCAACTTTTTCTCCATTATGGCCTCTTCTCATTGCACTGACTCTGGATAATTACACATTCCACCCTGCTTTATGCCTGTATTATCATCAGAGAATTTAACCTATGGGATCAACTTTCCAGCTTTTTGTAAGGGAGCCTGAGAGGAGGCTGGGAGCGAGAGGGAACATCCGCCAGCACGCCTTTTTCCGGGAAATCAACTGGGAAGCTTTAGAAGAGAGAAGGATGGAGCCTCCTTTCAAACCAAGAGTGGTAAGGATGGATCTTCTTTCAGTTCCACCCATCTCAGTCTTCCAAACTGTGCATTTCTACTGGCTGCCCGACCTGATCCTCACAGTATTGCTTTAGCTGCAAGCCCAGGTCTGGCACGCCCACACCTGAGAAACCATGAATTACTCATTGCTTTCTCAGTTGCTGCAGCAGGGTAACACCTTCCCTTCACCACAGAACTGCAGCCATTCTGAAGGGATTATCTTTCATTGCACTGCAGAAGGTAAAACAGTTCAGGAACCAAGTGTTTGGCTACATCAGAATAATTCTGACTATTAATAACAGTCTTGTTAAATTATTAAAGTCCCATGAATAATAATAACAACATAATTTAATTTGACAAGCACATCATACTTTCATTTTACAGTCTTCCACAACTGTTATACAAATGATGAGTTCAGTCTGCCATGTTACAAAGCTGTAACATCCCTGCCTGGCAGAATTCCTGGATCACAGGCTCAGTGCCTCCTTTATAATATTTATATTTACTGGCTCCCAACTGAAGGTTGAGCTGAGCCCATAGGAAGCTGTCTGATAGGGCCAGTACCATGGTAATAAAGATTTAACTATTAGTGGTTTGACATCAATTTTTTTTCCCTTTTCTTGAAGAAATCTCCAAGTGACTGTAGCAACTTCGACAAGGAATTCCTGAATGAAAAACCCAGACTGTCCTGTGCTGACAGAGCACTGATTAACAGCATGGACCAAAATATGTTCAGCAACTTCTCTTTTGTGAACCCTAAAATGGAGAAAATATTTTCCTGAGATCTGCCTTACTGAAGGAATTTTCTGTAATGATTTGAGTAGCACTTTGTCAACTGGAGACTGTGCATGGTTGTTTTTATCAAGAACCCTCAAGAAAGAAAGCACCTCAGTGAAAGTTTGTACCATGCCTGGAGGCTTCTGACTTTTTCCAGTCCATAACAGATGCCAGCCCACTCTTCATTGATGATAAAGTTTCTTTGTGGTATCTTTTGGTCTCTCTTCTCTCTCTTCCCAATGTTCTTGAAGTTGAAAGCATTTGAAAATGAGGAGGTGCCAAAACCTGTTCCCCACTACTTGTACACAGAGCCAACAGGTTTCTCTGTAAGGAAAAATGAGTATATTTGAGCTTCTGGTGATGTCAGTGCCCATTTCTGCAACTCTGACCCAGACCCACCTTCTTCTGAAGGAAAAGTGGTTTGCTCAAGCCCTGAGGGTATCAGGGAAGAGTCAGGTTGGATGCTTTGGTAACTTCCACTTGTATGTGTGCAGAATTGCCAAAGTGTGCACAGCTTTGAAGAAGTAATTTTACTCCCTTTAAAAATGTTCCATACACCCTTTAAAAATGCTGTTCACAAGTGTTAGGACTCAATTTTTCTCCATGGGACAAAGATACTTTTTTCAGGTGCCCATTCCACTATCTGCACATCTCAATGGATTGTTACCAAAGGGAGTGCCAAGATTGGTGCAGAAAACCAGAGGTTTACACTTAGTGCCTAAGCAGGAAGGATGGGAAGTTGCAGAACATTTCAAGAACCCTATTCTAGAGCTTTAAGTGTCTTCTGACACACCACACTCAGGGCAAGATCTCAGTGGAGCTTTCTGACATTTTAACCTAAAATCACATGAGAAAAATGCAACATTTCCTCAAACCATTGTTTAAGCATTGTGGAAGTGGCCTTCCAGTCACAGAACTGGGGTATTCCACTTGAAAGGTACTAACTGGTCCTGCAAAGGCTGATTTGCTTTCTCTAAATGATGTCCTAGCTCTTTGGCACAAATCAACAAGCTGCACACAATGGTCACAGGGCAGGAGGCACATTAAGTGAGGATGGCCCTCACCTCCACCTTGTGACATTTTGCTGTGTGTTCACTCCCTTTGCAGTCTGTGGGAATGTGGGTGGGTTTTAAAAAAAAAAAAAGAAGAGTCTTTTCTGTGATCCTTTCATCATGGCATCCTTTTAAATAAAGGTGCACTGCTTTCTGAGGTTGGAGATTTGTGAAACCATCCAGTAAATGGTTGTCACTGAGATAACCATGCAAAGCTGGGTCAAAATCAAGTCAGACCCTAAACAGAAGATTTTTTTAACAACTTGGGCTTAGGCAGTCACTCACATTGGTGTTGGGATCTATTTGAAGAGCATACATTTGGGGCTTTGTTGTATCAGCCTCCAGTCCATGGAGAAGAAAAGCTCTAGAAGGTGAGTTATCCCAAAATCAGGTTCCCTTCAGAGGTGCATTCTTGGTTCTGCTGATCCAGGCTGTCAATTTGGACCTCCCAACAGGATGAATGCAGCCTTGCAGGCAGTGCTGGGATATCACTGGCAGTGACTGCAGGCACAGAGTCCAGCAGGAGCAAGGGCTGAAGTGCCTGAAGTCAACAAGAAGAGCAGAACACCCTGAGAAAGGTTTCAATCCAGTGACTCTGATGAAATCCTAGTTTGTGCTGTATGAAATGCAGGAGGGGGCAGCTGTGCTTGCAGTTTGTGGAGCTGGTCATCATGTTTAATTAGAACATGAATTTAGTTAACATGAATTTTTTAATGCCAGTGCTGTTTGTACAGTTTAATAAAATGTTGTGTATAATTGGCAAACGGGCATTGAAGTGATAACATAGGGACAAAGAACAGAGGTGCTTAGAAAAGCCATTAAAATGGCTCTGTGTTGTCTGGGGAACATTCCCCAGGGGAATTTTGACCCATAAATACACAGCAGCAGCAAGCACTTGAACAACTACTACTCCACAGGGCAATATCTAAACCAAGGATGTGGTGCTGTGCAAAGGTACCCAGGAAGAGAGAGAAATGTTTCTTTTTACTACCAGAAGGTGACACAGCTCTGAATGGGGTCTGGTATCTCTGAGGGGTTGCAGGGAAGATGTGCAGAGGTTTTTATTAAAAGAGGGTGATGTAGGACATCTTCCTTTGACACCCAAATGAGGGTCAGCCAAGTCCTGTGAGGGCCTGAGTGTGTCCATGACTCTGATGGAGTGGCCAGCCTGATCCAGACTAGAGGCTGCATTTCTAAGTGTTTGAAGACTGGCAGTATCCCTGAAGGGCTTTTAGGGATGTTCCCTTTGCTGCAGCACAGCAGTTTGGTCTTGACACCAATGCAGGGGCAGCCCAAGAGCATAGACTAAGGAAGGAGGGTGCTGGTTCACCTCTTGTGGTTGAGTCACTGAAGAGAAACAGGTTTTAACACCTCTGATCAGAAGGAGGGCTCTCTGCACTCCAGCTGTGGTCCCATGGAACCACAAGCATGACTTGTGAAGGAACTCGTTGAGTAACTACTAGAGCAGGCACAGCATTAGGATTATTGTGAAGCTTTTGATGCAAACCACAAGAAGAAGCACCTGCTTCTCTCTGCAGGGCACCTTCAGCTTGAAAACCCAATAAACCCATTGAGGATGGGGGCAGGGGGATGGGGGAGGTGGGTACAATCCACCACAAGTGTGCTGTCTGTGTCCCAGCTGTGCCTCTGGGGTGTGAAGAGTGACGTGGGAAGCAGCAAATGCTTTCCTGTGGTGACAGTGATTGAGAGATATCAGCCTGGGAGGGCTGAAAGCCAAGCACCCACGCAGAAATGAGCAGGAGCCCAGGTACCCACAGAGATGTTCCTTTGCCTTAGCTGAACCTGGCACATCCATTTCCACCTTATTTCTCTTTTTTCCCTCTCCCCTCCTCCATAAAATGGTCACTTTATGGCATAGTAGATGGGGCTTGACAGGTTTGGTTACTTGTTTGCTGAAGGCTCAATCCTGCTCTAGAGCCCTGTGGGATCACAGCCCTGCTGCAGGACCATGGAACCAGCAAACATCAGGGTCTGACCTCCAGCACCACCTGCTTCAACTCCAGTTTTGGGAGTCCCCAGCACCCAAGTGCTCCTTTCTCAGTCTTGCTGTCTCACCTGATGGATGTATGGATTCCTACTTGCTGGCATCCACCAAATCAGGATGAGTGACAGTCAGCTGCCAATGACAGCCCTGATTTCAGCATTCCTGCAAAGACTCCCAAGAGGGTCTGGGTTGGTCTCACAGCTCCTCAGCTTTCAGAAGAGAAAACCAAGCTCTGTCTTGCACCCCACCATGCTCTTTGCAGCCTGTGCTGAAAGGAAAGACAACTTTGCCCAGTTGTTACAAGACACTCTTGCAGTACAAAGGTGTCATCAAAAGTCTGAATCTGACAACAAAACTCCAAAGAGTGGGTCCTGGCAGTTGAAATTGTGTAATTATCTTTGTACCTTAGACATGTAAAACCCACATTAGAGATCCCAGCTGGGACCTTACCTGCTCCCTCATCACCTGCAGCCACCAGATCATCATCAGTCAGTGTGTGGCTCAAAGTGTGTCTTGTGGCGTGAAGCCAGCAGAGGTCTCAGTGCAGAGCTCAGGAAGCTTTTCTACCTTCCTTGCTTACACAGAAATTTTATCTCTGGTACATCACAGCACAAGCAGAGCTGGTGAAATACAGGAAGTGTATTTTTAGCTCCTCTGTGACTGGCACTGGGTGCAGCCCAGTGATTGTACCCACTGTACTGGGGTCCATTCCACTGTTGGTAAAAGGAACTTTGGAGTCCTTTATCTTCTACATCACCTCAATGTTTATGTACACAAAGATAGAATTGGAAAATAGATGAGATGTGAAACAAAGGAGAAAAACCAGCATTGAGTTGTAGAAGGTCAAGCAAGCACAGAAAAGGCAAGTAAGGAACAAAAGAGGGATACAGGTCAGTGTAATGTTATTTAACACTTCCCTTCATCCGCTGGTTTCAATTAGAGCTCTGCCATTTTCCTTCAAACCATCAGTACCATCCTAGAGTTGCTTTTGTAGCCAAAACACAGAACTTTTGGAGATTTCAGAGGATGGGACAGCCTGAGACCAGAATGGCTCTGATCTGGCCTCCCAGGTAGCACAGGGCTGCCATTCCTGCTCTGATATCTCCCCTAGAAATCCAAATATTTCTGCTTTGAATCTGGATTCAGGACCCAATTCAAGTATTTTAATTAGGCTGTCTATAGCAGAGGAATGCAGTTTAAGTGCTTGCTTTTAGTCAGGTAACACTCTGAGACACCTTGGGCTATCCTGGAGGACTTTTGCTAAGTTTGGGCCTGCCCTACAACCTGTGACTTACCCCACAGCCCTATTTCCCCCAAATACCCCCAACAGCTGTGGACGCCTCTCTGTAACCAGTGGAATCAGGCCTGGAGTTCACCCTCCAGCAGGACCTGCGCTCAACCAGTCAAGTGTTGTAAGAAGAAACATCAAAAATTAGTTATCAACATGTTTTCTGCAGTTGCTAAAGAAAACTCATGAAGGAAATCCTCCATCCTCATTAAGGGGGACCAGAGGGCACTGCATTTCCCATTTTCACTGGCAAGCATATTCCCTGCTCCCATACTAAAGCAGTGATAATGAGAGAGACAACAAGCTCAGTAGTTATGGTGCTTTGAGAGCTGTCTTTGCTCTTGAAGGGGAACACTTTTAAGCTGAAAGAAGATAGGTTTAGACCAGATGTTAAGAAATTTTTTTTTTTTTTTTATTCAGACGGAACTGAGGCCCTGGCACAGGGTGCCCAGAGAAGCTGTGGCTGCCCCTGGATCCCTGGTAGTGTCCAAGACCAAGTTGGACAGGGCTTGGAGCACCCTGGGATAGTGGAAGGTGTCTCTGCCCATGGCAGGGGGTGGAATGAAATGGGCTTTAAGGTCCCTTCCAACCCAAACCATTCTGTGATTCAATCACAGGAGATGCTCAGTTACAATTAAGCTCAAGGGCATCAGCTCTTTCTCATTCTTCATTTTCACATGTTGAATTTAAAAAAATCCCAACCCTTAATCTCCGTTCCAAGACTCAACTGGATTCTGCCTGTCTGGGACCCAGCAATCTCCCAAATCATGCTGCTCCTCTGCCTAAACAAAAACCTGCCTGTACACAGCAGCTGGGGAGGTGAATCATTATTTTAATAATCACCTAGAGGAAAACATGCTGCTTGAGTGGAGAGAAAATAAAAATTAAGTATCACATTTAATTT